AGGGGTGCTATGTAAAAAGCCTGCCCCATGGCCACAACCGCGTCATGAGCCCCGCTGCGGCACACCTTTCGCCTCCTCGCCGCCGTGTTTCCACGCAGGTCTCGACCGGGTACGCCTCCCTCCGCGGCCTCCCGGACGCGCAGTTCTTCCACGCCATCACCCGCCACCATCCCCGCCGCCTCCGTCCGCGTCGCCGTCGCCGCCACCTCCGTCCGCGTCGTCGCCGTCGCCGCCTCCCTCCGCCTCGTCGCCGTCTGCCAGCTCGATTGCGACGCAACTTGCGATTAACCACCCGTACCTCCAACTCCTAAGCACTTCGGGTGCCCCCCCCCCCCCCCCACCCACCACCACCACACACACACACCCCTATCCCCAATGTCCTAGCCTCGCCGCCACACGCGCCCTGCCGCACAGGCGTCTGCCGCACGGACGAAAAGAACAAGGGGGCAACTTTGACGAGCTTTGGGGTATCGAGCTCGGGCACATTGGGTGCGCCATGACAGGTGACGTGTCTCTTCACCCTCGGCTGCACCGGTGTGCGCCTCCCCCCCCTCCCCAAACTCCTCCCCCTTGGGTGGGTCGCAACACACACCGCGCCTCGGCCCGCGCAGGGTTCGAGTACGCCGTCGAAGACGTTTGTCCCGCTGCAAGCTCTTCAAGGGCCCCATCCTCTCGACGCTGCCCGTCGGCGGCGCGAGCTGCTACAAGAAGGCGTCCAAGACGGAGCTCGGGCACAAAAAGCGGCTCTAGTGAGGCCGTCAAGGGCGACCTCAAGCCGTCCTCCTTCTTCTCGCTGCGCGGACTCGATCATGAACATCTCGCACGAGTAGAACCTCTCGCTTCCCCTCGGGGTAGCCCAGTCTGATCGGGGTGGAATGCTTCCCAAGTCCGCGTATGTCTCCCAGGCGCGGCAGACTTTGCATGCTCTCCCATCTCCACATCTTCTCAGGTCATATTGATTGATTGATGGGAAGGCGAAACACAGTCCGACCAACGACTGGGACACCAACGGGGTATGGGTGGACGCAAGACGGGCGATGACGGTCACACAGGAGCAGGCACCCCCAAATCAACCAAAATCCCGCGTTTTTCGACGGTTTTTGGCCCCCTCACCGAGCCCCCATGGCCCACGAATGCAGCCGATGGCGCTAATCGCCCGCCCCAAGTGACCCCTCGAGGTCTGTGCCCTCGGCTGCAGCCTTTCGGGACCCCGAGCGGGCTCTTGGGGGCGAAAACCACGATTTTGGGCCGATTTTCGGCGAAAAACCGCGCTGTCCTCGACCCGAGACGGCCCCGCACTAAAACAGGGAGCAGCGGACGTTACCAATCGACGCGGCTCGGCCGTGCGCGTCGATTGGTATGCTTGGATGCATCGAAGAACAGCCGTGGACAAGCGTGGACCCCCAAACCAAAGGTGATATATATACCACGATATTAGCGTCGGCGTCGGAATCGAGGTGCTGCCACAGCTCTTCCATGTGAGCGCCACGATTTTCGTAGCGCTGCGGCACCATCCGCACCCGGTCTCGGTCCCGCGCTCCACCGCTTCGGTTTCATGCTTGCGACCGCCCCGAGCCGACCAGTTGGCTCGGCCCACTCGGAGCTGTTTGGGCACCAACCTGAGCATGCGGTCGCGATTGGGGGCACGCGGCGCGCCGGCGCGTGTCGCACCCGGTCCCGCGCTCCCACGGGCGATATGGGTCTGATGCGCGCGCTGTTACCGGCCCAAGCTACGCGCCCGCACCGGGCACCGGCGCCGGCTTGCTCCTATGCACCGCGCGACTATGCGAGCGTGGCATGCATCGACCCTCTCGGACGCCCGCGCAGGGTGGAAGGTCACCTTGCGACCCGTAAGGTCAAATCGGACCTTGCTACCCACAAGGCCCGACCTTGCGCAGGTCGACCTTCATAGGGCAGCCGCCCACCCTTAGTTAGGGTCAGAGGGTCTGAGGAGCTGACTGAGCTGCCGGCGGCGACAGCAGGGACGACGCGCCACGTGGCGAAGAAGCTTCTGGCGACAGCTCTCCCAAATGATATTATAAAGCAGCAGAAGACGGCGATGTCCTCATCATCGCAAACCAGCGATCGATAAGATAAGATAAGAGCTACGGCCTTTCCAGACAGTGAGGGACCCACGGAAATAGTGGGGTCGCTGGCCTGTCATCGGTCACTCGTCGCGCGCACTGAAGCATGTCGCTCGACCTCAGCCCGCTCGCGGACGCGCTCGACGACGAACCCACACCTGCCGCGGCCGCTCCAACAGTCGTCGCATTGCCCTCCTTTCGCGTGAAGACTCGCGAGCATCTCGACTTCAACCGTGCATGTGAAGCCTCCGAACGTGCATTTCGTCTCCAGGTGCGTCAGGCAATCCGTGCCGGCGGATCGCATGCGGTCGAGGCTGGGAAAAGTGCTTACGCGAACTGGAAGCATAACAACTTCACATGGACGGCCGCCGACTATCGTAAGCTCGGCTTCCATGAGAAGTACTGCACAAATCTCTTCTGCAGTCGTGCGTCGACAACATATGGCTTGATGGATCACCTTTGTGCAAGCCTCGATCTGGATGCTCTCATCGGCGCTCCAACAGTACTGTTTGACCTGGGCTGCGGCCCAGGATGCTGCACACTTGGGTACGCCGCTTTCGTCTCTGCCGAGTTCGCGAGCTCGCGCCCTCTATTCCAAGCCTTCGGCATGGATCCAGCTGTCGAGTGGAGTGCCGGATACGAAAGCATGTGCACGAGCACTGAACTTGACGGCTGTTTTTGCACCGATGGAAAAGGGTCCGGCTACGGGCTGCAGCAAGCGCCAAGCATGCTGTCGTTCATCTTGGACGAAACTGGTGCATCAGGCTTCCACCGGCCAGGCCGCCCCTTTCGAGGCCTCGGCCCAGCCGAGCGCTCCTACCATGCGCCTGCGGCGGATCTGCTCTCGGCCACACGCGACGACCCCTTGGAGCCCGTCCTCGCCTCCCTGCTCGAGGAGTCTTTCTCCGCGAGGCTGGCCTCATCTACGGCCGAGGGCGTCGACGACGAGGAGCGGCAGAAGAACGGCGTTGCGGTTAGCGTCAACCCCCTCTACGCTGCTGGCTCCTCGCTGCACGCCGCCTTCGTCGCCGCATGCCGGCGCAACCCGTCGCTCGAGGTGGAGGTCGTGTTTCACGGCACCGCTGACTGCAACGTGGACGCCATCTCCGAGAATGGCCTCGATCCCGCACGGCGCGGCCAGCACGGGCAGTCGCTCGGTCCCGGCGAGTACTTCGCGCGCGACCCGCTCATCTCCCTCTCCTACTGCCAGCGCCACGGCGGGCTCCGGCAGGGAGCAGGACCGACACGCATGCTCATCTTCGCCGTGCTCATCGACCCGCGCAACGACGGCGTGCCCGCGTTCGCGCGCGAGGACTTTGGCGGCTCCTCGCCCATCGTCGTCGTCCCGCAGGCAGACCACCAGCTCCCGATCGGCGTGCTCACCCTCAGGCCGGGCGAGGAGGCGATGGGCCAGGCCACGAGCGTCGTGAACGCCTTGATGCGGAAGGCCAAGGCCGCGAGCGATGCCGCCGCGGTGGCGGAGAAGCAGGCGAGCGCGGCAGAGAGCTTCGCGCGCGTCTGCCAGCTCCTCATCCGCGAGGATCTTGACGCAGCCGCAGCGGCATACCAGGCAGCAATCGCCTCAGACGCGGCCTCCACCTCGAGCTGGGCGCACAGCCTCTCCTTCTACCTGCGCAAGTACCGCCTCGAGCCCAGCCTCATCCAGGTCATGTTCCCGGGCGTCGAGGGCGTCAAGGTTGACGCTGGCGGCAGCAGCAGCGGGGGTTTGGGCAGCTTGGGCTCAACCAGCCGCGCCGTCTCGAAGCGCCCTTTCGACGGCACCGTCGAGGAGCTCAAGGCGTGCGCCACCGCCAAGCGGGCCGAGGCGGACGCGGCCCACTCCCGCTGGCGCGCCGCTTCGAGCCGCGCGGCCAGCAGCGCCGGCTCCAACCCGGCGCGGGCAGTGCCGAGTCGGAACGCGCGGCCCGCGGCCGTTGCGTCGACGGCGGTGGCCACGCGGCGCGTCACCAAGGAGCTGCGGCAGCTGGCGCGCGCGGAGCACGGCTGGACCGTCGAGCTTCCGGACGAGGCAGACTGCTACGTGTGGCGATGCAGCCCGAGCCGGGCACGGACTCGCGCGCGAGCTCGTCGACCACGCCCGCCGGACCGGCGAGTCGGAGGCGGTCCAGCTCGAGGTCGCCTTCTCGGGCGACTACCCTGCCGCGCCGCCGTTTGTGCGCGTCGTCTCGCCTCGCTTCGAGTTCCACACCGGCCACGTGACGGTCGGCGGCTCCGTCTGCCTCGAGACGCTCACCACGTCGGGCTGGAACGCCGAGCTCTCGATGGAGGGCGTTCTCCTCCTCGTGCGCTCGGCCTTTGCCGACGGTGGCGGCCGGCTCGACCCGGTGCGGGCGCACGTCCCTTACGCCGAGCGCGAGGCGCGGGCGGCCTTCGAGCGCGTGGCGCGCGCTCACGGCTGGGGCGCATGAGCACGGAGCTAGAGCGTAGAGCGTAGGCCGATGCGCGATGCGCCCCGCCAGTCCATTCTGCGGTGGTAACTGGAAGTATTGGAGCGAGCGCGCCGACACAAATCATCACAGTGCAAGAGGGGAGAGGGGGGCCGTCTGTGAGTGCGTGGCGCATCTTGTCCCTGTGTTCGAACTTACGTTCAGCTCGTCTGTGCGCGCTGTGCACCGTCGGCCCCCCACCAAAATTTTCATTTTCTTTGTCACGTACGTCCCTGTTTCGTCTCTACAACTCCCCCACACCCCTTATCGCGTCGTCTCTCACGTATGCAGTTGCAATCTCGCTCTCGCGCGGCGCTGTGAGTCACCCTCTCGAAGAGACCGAACACGTAATAGAGTACTGAACAGAGCGGACGGGAGGGAGGCCTCGCAGAGACACCAATAAGACAGTACTATCGCTTGGCTGAAGCGTCGCCTGCGTCGGCGTCCGCGGCAGCGGCCGCTCCCGTCTCTACGGGCTCGCCCGCCCCTGCCCGCGCGAGGCCCGGGTCGGTGCCGGCTGCCAATGCGGGTGGCGGCGAGGGCGGCGGCGGCAGCGGCGGCGGCAGCGGCGGCGCGGCCACGGCGGGAGACCGCGAGGCTGTGAGGGCGAGGGACGTGGCCGCCAGCCACAGGCGCGCCTGGGAAGGGTCAGAGAAGGTTGAGGGGGGAGGGAGAGGGGCGGGGTCAGGGGCGGCGGGTGGCAGCCGCGCCGGGTCGTAGCGGTCGGTCGCGGGGAAGGAGGGCCAGCCGGGGCCAAAGTGGTCCAAGTCGTCGAGAAGGATGCGAGGCGAGCCGGGCAGGATGGCGTCCGCCTGCCGGGCATGTCGTGGGCGTGTGTCGTGGGCGTGTTTCGTGGGCGTGTCGTGGGCGTGTGTCGTGGGCGTGTCGTGGGCGTGTCGTGGACATGTCGTGGGCGTGTCGTGGGCGTGTCGTGGGCGTGTCGTGTCGTGGGAGGGTCAGGGTCAGGGTCAGGGTCAGGGTCAGGGTCAGGGTCAGGGTCGGGGGGGGGGGGATCCGCCTGGCAGACGCAGCCGTCCGACCACTCGCCGTACCGGAGGGCGAGGAAGTCGATGATGGGCTTGAGGAGGGAGGAGGAGCCGCGGTCGCACGAGGCGAGGCAGACCGTCGGCACCTGCACGACGAAGATGTGGGGAGGTGTGGGGAGGTGTGGGGAGACGTGGGGAGATGTGGGGAGGTGTGGGGAGGTGTGTGGAGGTGTGTGGAGATGTGGGGAGGTGTGGGGAGGTGTGGGGAGGTGTGGGGAGGTGTGGGGAGACGTGGGGAGATGTGGGGAGGTGTGGGGAGGAGCGGGGAGATGTGGGGAGATGTGGGGAGATGTGGGGAGAGATGATGCAGGCCGTCGGCACCTCCTCGAGTGGGTACGGGTGCGCCTCGATGAACTCCTGCCTCGCCGTGAAGGACAGGTCGAGCACCGCGTGCCTGGGGCGGAGGAGATGGGGTCAATCTCGGCTGAACCTCGGCTGAACCTCGGCTGAACCTCGGCTGCCTCTCGGCTGCCTCTCGGCTGCCTCTCGGCTGCCTCTCGGCTGCCTCTCGGCTGCCTCTCGGCTGCCTCTCGGCTGCCTCTCGGCTGCCTCTCGGCTGCCTCTCGGCTGCCTCTCGGCCGCCTCTCGGCTGCCTCTCGGCTGCCTCTCGGCTGCCTCTCGGCTGCCTCTCGGCTGCCTCTCGGCTGCCTCTCGGCCGCCTCTCGGCCGCCTCTCGGCCGCCTCTCGGCCGTATCTCGGGCTGCCTCTCGGGCTCGGCTCGGCCCGTCTCGCCTGCAGCCGCTCGAGATATGGGGAGATATGGGGAGATATGGGGAGATATGGGGAGATATGGCCTGCAGCCGCGCAGCAGCCGCTCGAGCAGCACGTTGAGCGCGACAGAGCGCTGGACCTGCGTGTGTTGCGAGGGTCGTGCGCAAGCCGTGAGCCGGTCCACACGCAGCCATGGGGGAGGGGGGATGGGGGAGGGGAGACGTTGCTGCACTTGCGTGTTTGCGAGGTCGTGCGCGATCGCGGAGCCGCCGTGCGGGCCCTGCACCTGCACATTGGAGGTGTGGGGAGGTGTGGGGAGGTGTGGGGAGGTGTGGGGAGATGTGGGGAGATGTGGGGAGATATGGGGAGATGTGGGGAGATATGGGGAGATATGGGGAGGTGTGGGGAGGTGTGGGGAGGTGTGGGGAGGTGTGGGGAGGTGTGGGGAGGTGTGGGGAGGTGTGGGGAGGTGTGGGGAGATATGGGGAGGTGTGGGGAGATGTGGGGAGATGTGGGGAGATGTGGGGAGGTGTGGGGAGGT